CATTCGGCCGTCTTGAGAACCGATTGGGTTACCAATGCCTGCCTCAACAGAGCTGCCTGAAGTGCCAGGTGAGAATACTGTGTCCGGGTGAAAGTCGTGCTGCTGGGTCCAGTCTAGACAACAATGGTTGCCGAGAAGGTCGTGCAGGGTCTTTACCTCAGTTACTCCATGAGTCCTGGTGAATCGACTAGGCCAAAGGCTGATGCAGAGCGTCTCTTCTGAGCAAAGTGAATTTCTTGCCGTCCTTTTCAATACTTCTCATCGTCTTACTCCCTCAGCGCAGTTATTTTCTTCACACAACTCCAACAAAAAGGGGCGCCTCCCTCGCTCTCTCCAACGCCTTACTATTCCCAACATGCATCACAAAGCCGAAAGCCCAGGCAGTGCCTTATTAAAGTCGCAAATCAAGATTGCCGACATGACGGCTTGTCGCAGCAAAATGTGTCGGAAAATCCACGGGGAAGTCGAACTCAAAAATTGAAAAGATTCGCAAATCGAAGTGAGAAAGCAATCCAGCCAACCACAGATCGCCTTTGCCATGCTATGCAAGGGTAGCTCCTCTGTATGCAGAGTCTATCTGACCAAAAAAACTCGGTTGTAGTAGGTGTTTTGTGTGGTCTCTTTGGAGCCGTCGAAATGCATCAAAAGCTAATTAATCTCGGAGATCAGGAAACAAAAGGAAATTCGGAGGACTCGTGACAGATGTGTCTCCGGGGATGTTGGGAGACACGTCGTGATGGGGGAGATCAAGCCTTTTAACCACGGCTGACTTGACTAGCACTGGTTCTGCTCCGTTCATCGTCCTCCTCGATCACATCACTAAGCCTAGTAGGATGATGGTGACGGGGGACAGTCTCCCAGCCGGGCGCAGCATAGCCGGAGCCCGAGTAATCCGGCCCGGTGCCAGAATACGGCTGCTGTTGCTGCGGTGGGTGCTGGCCGCCAGCGTATTGCGAGCTTGATGGAGGATAGCTCACACCGCCCGCGGGCTGCGCTACAGGCGTCTCGTAATCTTCTGTCCCCGAGTCAGACCTGTCATCTCCAGGAGTGCCAGGTGCGCGGAAGGGGACTTTGTGGCCTCGGGAGTCGCGGATGAAGTTGCCCTGTGCATCTATGGCGTACTCACCTTCGCTATAGCCTCCCTCTGATCCACCGCCGCCACTGTAGGCGCTACCTCCCTCGTGGTGGACGGTCGCCTGGGGCTGCTGGTAGAAACCGCCGGTGCCGCTGGGTCCTGCGGCAGTAGAGGTCGTCGGTTGAACGGGTGGGGCTTGCGAATAGTCGCCGTAGCCTTGCTGCTGGGAACCGTACTCTGGATTCTCAGGTTGAGGTTGCGATCGTGGATCTCGAGAGCTGCCGTGTCGTGATGGAACGCCCTGTGTCATGGGCACCACCTGTACACCACCGACAATTGTCGGTAGACCTTGTTGTAGGGAAATGGTTCGATCACGCTCCTCTTGCTCACGTCGGCCTAGCTCCTCCCAAGCACGGCGCGCCTCTTCTTTGGAGATGGTCAATTCCTTCTGCATCTCAGTCATGCGCTTCTGCGTCTTTGAGTTGGCGCGCTCATGCTCGACCGCATCTCTGATCGCATCAGATCTGCCCCGGCGCTCCTCCTCCAAAGCAGCCTCGAGCATCGCATTCACCTCCTGGTGCCGCTCCAGTTCCGCGCGCGTCTCGAAAAACCACCGCTGGAATTTGCGCTCCGAACTAGCGCGGAGCCGTTGAAGCTCGACCACGGCATGGAAAAGGTTAGCGCCCGCAGCCGAAAGATCGGTCACTTGTCGGGAGAGCTGCGAAGAAACGGGATCTCTGTCGATGTCCTCGGCATGCTGCTGCAACTTCCGAATCCAGAAGCTTGTCAGGCCCTCCCAATGGGCTGACAAGGCCTCCCAGCGCTCGAAGGCATGAGGGAACGAATTCCTAGGTCGAGTTCCTGCTGCCGTTGAAGATTCACCGGTTTGGCCAGCACCACCAGCTGTGGTCTGTGCGGCCTGGGGAACTCCTGTAGGGAATTGCGGAGGCGCCCCCTGAGCAGCTGGATTTCTAGACGGCCGCTGCTGTTGCTGTTGCGTGCCGGGGTTCTGAGATATTCTGGTTGACGTCTGTTGCTGAGACGGTCGAGCCTGAGGATCCGATGTCTGTCGCTGTCGTCGTTGTGTAGAGATAGGATCACTGGGCTGAGGGGCGGCGGGTATGTCTCCCCCGCCGCCTCCTCCTACATGTGATGGACCGCCAGCGCCAGCAGCCTGGGCTCTCCGCTCCTGTCTCTGCCGCTGTTCTTCCAGGAGGCGTGCCTCTTGCTCAGCACGCTCCCTCTCCATCTGCTCCCGCTCCGCTCTTTGACGTGCCGCCTCCCGCTCCTGCCGTGCGTGCATGATGGCCCGGGGTCCTCTTATGCCCTGAGACGGCGAGCCAGTCTGCGCGGGCGGTGCTGTCGGTCGTGAAGTCGATCCTCCATTGCCATTGGTGACGGCCGGGCCGCCGCCGAGGAGCTCCGCCATGGAAGCGTTCTCCTCGATGAGGTCGGGCGTGAAGGGGTTGGGATGTCGCAGTGCTTCCTCGAGCGCCCAGAGGATCGCACTGTGGGTGTGTCTGGAGATGCGAACAACCGGGTGTGGCTGGGATGTGCCCGGCTGTGGGGAAGATGAGATTCTTGGGGGAATGAAAGACGGAGGTAGAGTGGTAGAGGCTTCCTCGAGAGAGTCACTCAGATCCTGTGAGAGCTGCCGTCTGGGTTGGCGAAGACGCTCCCTGCGTTTTTCCTGGTCCGGTGACCCAGCAGTGGCGGCGAGGATCCGAGGATTTATACCAACGGAGACTGCCTCGAGGTGAACCTGCCTGGGTGGAGTCTGCTCTCTGGGCTGGGGACTCGGGGTGTTGAGGAAGCGGGGAGTACGACGCAAGACTCTTTGGGATGACGGAGTGGATCTGTTGTCTTCCTGTGCTGGAGACTGCTGAGGACTCTGGTATCGAGGAAGTGTTCGCTGCTGGCGCTGACGTGACGGCGTAGAAGTGTCGTGGCGGTCGTAACGGTCGTGAGAAGAGAAGGGGGGATTAGTTCCCGTCACCTTCGCGAATGCCTCGCGCTGGTCACCAGGAGTGCCTGGAGAGCTGGACAATGTGATGGTGGTTCACCACGGTGCGTGGTGAAGTAAAAGCAGTGGGAGTGGTTGTGGTCGTGCAAAGTAAACAAAGATGTCTTGGGAAGGGAAGTGATGTGAGTCGACGGTGACTTCACACCAGCTAACAATGCCCTACCCAAAAATGAGGAAGGCGGTGATCCGTCTGGTATGCAACAGTTTCTCACCGACGATTGCTTTGCAATTGTTAGGAGAAAGTCGTTGCACAGCAGAAGAGAGAAGCAGAGGGAAAGGAGGATAAGCGCGAAAAAGGGCAGTCGTGCTGGTAGCGCGAGGTTGTTGCCGGGCCTCTTTTCGCTGGTGCTGCGCTGTCGTCGAAAATGGAGAGGTTGGCGGTTTGGCGAAAAAGCGGGTGGCAGGAACACCTTGCGAAAACGAAACGAGATTTGGTGGCCAGTTGAAGAGCTGTCGGCTACAAATGAATGATGCCCTAAAAACACTTGTCGCGTCGTCAGATTCTATTTTTGAGGAGTCACCAGCTGTGCATCCAAGGACAGTCGCAGTGAAAGGGTCTTTCTGGGTCGTGATCTAGGCCGTGGTGTTGTCGTCGTTGTCGTCGTCCACCGCTGCCCGACTGTCACTGGCGCACACCCACCACACCAACAAGCTGCACCCAACTTCTGCCTCCGTCGCCTCACCGTTTCGCGTGGCCAATTGAGCTATGATAGACTGGCGATCGGACTGAAGAGCTGCAAAAGACTCATCGGCAACCATAATCGCATATCAATGGCTCCAATTGCGGTTGCGCTGTCGAGTTGAGAAGTGTCCAGCGGCCGTTGGCGTCTCCCAGCCTCTGTCATATTCCGCCCCAGTTGTGTGTGCGATGCAGCGTCTTCTCTCTTCCAATTACAGGCCCTCCAGCCAGGAAAAAGTTGCTGCGGCAGTAGCAGCACGGGCCTACGCAATTGTCTGGCCGGGTAACAATCGAGGGATCCAGCGCCAGGTCCAGTTCAGGAAGCTATTGTCATTGCAACGGGCTGTTTCTGTCGTCGCAGAGCATTATGAGCAGAGCGACGCTGGGCGGACAGAGTGGGAAGTGTTCCCGGAAAGGAATATCTGTCTGTCTCAGCCTGCCTTAGAAGATTTGAAAGGCAGATGTTGTGCGGATAGCGGCAGCAACGGGAGGCAAGGGTTTTGTAATTCGGGGCTTGATCTGTTGAAGGGTGGGCTGGATCATCCTCCCCCTTCCACTTGGCGCAGCACCAACACCCGGATCTGCGTTTGTGGCCCTTTCACTCTCTGTCACTCAGTCCAACTCCCCCCGGTCTGAAGTACTCTCCGAATCAGTCTCATCTGCTGCTTCACTCCTTCAGCTGAGGACCAGGGCTCCTCTTTGGTCAGCCAACTCTCCGTTTTAGATTAACCCGCGCAGATGAGAGTTACACACGCGGGAGGACAACCTGAACCATGTCTCTGCTGCCCGCTGAAACAGCCGTGGGCCAGACATTCTACACATGGCTCAAAACAACTCTAGGTTAAGGATCTATTTATTAATGTTGAATTCATTTCTTTCAGATGAGCAGCTTGCGCATACTCTGAAGAGGCGTAACTGTGCGCCTATCCATCAGATGGATCGGCAAGCTTTGAGGGTGACAAGGCCGACAGGGCCACGCACGCCTCTTTGTCAACCAGAGCACAAGCAACCTTCCTCGACATGCGCCTCGAAGAGCTTCGATCACTTGCTTGAGTGTCTGCGCTGGCAGCTTCGAGACTATCCCCATCTCTTGCCATTGATGAAAGCCAATGGGGAGATTTGATCAATCAGCCAAAATTCGGGAGGCTGGGATCAAGGTCAGAGGCAGCTGGTCCGTCCGTCGCCTTCACCCTTCCTCCACCATACATAGTACATGAAATCATGCACTTCCCGCGACGCAGGCAAAATTAGACGCTCCTGGAGTTGTGCGTTGGCAGTACATGAAGAGCCATGGATCAGTGACGAAACAAATGCCGGCTAGTCCAGGCCCTGCCCAATGGGCTCTCAGCTGCCGAGCTCTAGCGAACCCAATAGGCCGGATCCAAAGCAAGGCCATCATCCCCCTGAAAGCCCTGAACCCTGCTTGGCTCTCCATCTTGGTGGAGGAGGGTGGTGTGGGCTGGTGCGGCAAGGGTGGGTTGGTGGGAGCTGGTCGGCGACGTGTGGCTTGTTAGATTGGCCCCCAGCTGTACTGTACTGTGGTACCTGTCTTGCGCACCCGCGTGTGCTGCTTGCAAGCTCCTCAAAGCTCCAGACTCCGGCGCATTTCCAGGTTTTTCTCTCCTTTGACAAGTCAGCACATGGTGGAGGTGGGATCATCCAAGGACCAAACGGACAGACTAATGCAACTCGTGATATAAACCGGATGCGAGTCTTGCGTATCTTAAGACCCCGTCCAAACGAATAATGGCTGGGCTATTTATCGCAAACCCTCATTCGAAGAGGAGCTGTGGCCATGGAGACCTCGGATGGAGAGCCGTGAATGGGCATCATTTGTCGTGAGGCTTGCTTGCTGACTACCGGTATGACCATGGCACGTTTTCAAGAAATGAGAGAGCCACCCACACAGACTGGTTGGTTGTTTTAGCCCGGCAAGGGACGGCTCGAGCCCGCGGGCACAGTCCCCAGGGCTGATGTACCCGGCCTGCCATGATCTCCCCCGCTGGCCAATCAGCGGCCGTTTTCAATAGTTCCGTGAATTAAGCTTCCCCCTGACCACTTTGGATGCTTCAAGGTTCACTGACAGCTCAATGCAAAGCCATGTAACACCATCACGTGTCGGGATGTTCAATTTCACTTCTGATGAAGCTTTTGGAGTGTCTCCGACTTATCAAGGCCAGTTTGACAGCAGGATTGGGGCGACCAAGTGGTTCTCAAGCTTTACCGCCGCTCATTTCCTGCAAAGCATCCCTCATCCCCCTTTCAACTACCTCAATCATCCCTACATAACGTCCGGTCGCAAGAAACAACAAGTTGCCTAACGCAGGAACGACTGCATGATTCAACATGTAGGGAACATCATGATGATGCACTCGAAAAGCTAAGACGACCAGTATGGCTCGATTCAGGGCGGGAAATATGGTTAACCTAACCTACTGCTCTGGAGAGAAGCTAAGGGCATGCCTTACAGCTCGCCTCTCACCAGACATCCGGTCAGCGAAATTCAGGCCTTGGAATATCAGCTGTTTATAACGGATCGCAGGGATTCCCACGATCTTTCCCTCGGAATCCAACCTATACAGGGGATCATGCAGTCTTTAATGGTGTCAATATAGCTCTTTAACTGTGCAGCCATACTTTTCAACTACTACAAATCGGATAGAATATGTTACCAGAGCCTCTATAATCGTGCCGAGAGTCATCCTACCTTGGACTTGGCCATCATCAACAACGAGGTCCCATTATCAACCAGCAAATGGAAGACTACACGGCATCAGGAGGCTTTACAGTCCGTCGCCTATCAATGGATGATATGAGGTACGACTACCTCGGCTGTGGCTGAGATGTAACGCCCATACGGTGATACATTTTCCATATATCCTCTATGCACATGCTATACACTCAATTCTGGCTTCAGCAAGACGTGGTGCCTTCAAAAGCCTACTCAATTGTGAAAGAAGCACTTGTCCGAGTCGTGAAGATCACAACAAGATACATGGTGAACACCTCCCTTTGCACTAAGATCCCCGGGCATCTCCAGACCAAAACACCCAAGCTTAATTTTCTTCTATCACACTGTTGTGGTTTCAAAAACCATAGCACTCATCCTTTCACCCACTTCAATCATCTGACAAAGCAATCATCAAATCGCTCAAGCAACCAAGCAACGAGCGAATCGAGACAAAGATGGCTGATAACAACACCGAAGGGCCACGACCTGGATTTTCTGTTACTTCGGGAATATACCCGACTTTATCAGCAAGGGAGCAAAATGTAGTTCAAATTCTCGAGAACATGAGAGTCCATGACGGTTATATCGAGGTGAGCATCCGTGCCATCCAGCCAGTTCCCCCTGCATTCTCAGGAGCATTAGTGACTCAGCCCACAGTTCGTCACCGACACTCGAGGCGGTGGTACGAAGAACCACAACTTCACCGGCGACGCGATCATCATCCGCTTCGGCGCCGACGCGCTGCCGGTGCCGCCCAAGATCCGCAGCGGATACTGGGAGAGAGTCTACAACCGGGCTGACTCCGCCAAGAAAGGCCGTAGTTACCGCACCGCGGACCAGAAGAACCGGAAGACATACCGGGAGGCTCTTCTGAAGCTGGCTGAGGACCTCTGCTCCGCTGGAGAGGATATCAAGGACTTCTACAAGGCGGAGAAGCGCCGGGTTCTCCGAGAGACCCGAGGAGTGTAAGTCATTCGCACAGAACCTGCCTGGTTCAGATACTGATGTCTGTTTTCAGGCTAGATGACGAATTCGTGGCGTTTATGGCCCGAGAGGAGATTGAAATTGACCTCAATGCTTGGACTCATCGGGATCTGAGAGCTCACTCGTGATACCTTCATTTGAGGTCTGTATATCCCGTCATCATGCGCAGATATAGATCAATTCCGCGGAGCTGCCCTCAGAGGCATAGATAGAGAAGAGAAATTCAGGATGGTGGTTGACTGGCATTCATTCTTCACCCTATTACTCATCCCCTTCCTGTATGTCTCAAATGCGCGTCACAATCCAGGCATCAAGAGTGTTAGTCCGCGCTAACGAAGCTTCTTGCCCCCATTTAAACACCGAGTATTGTCTTCCTTTTCCTGAGCCCTCGGCTCGTCCACCATGTGCCCAATCCCAACAAACTCGTATAGAGATGCAGCTGCATCTTTAAGTAAGACCAGCGGCATGTTTGCAAATCGTATCAAGTCTTGCCACTGACTGAAATGTAAACGTGCCGGAAATAGGCATGAGAGTGAAAGGGAGAAGAAGCAAAACCCGAAGCACATAATTATTGTCTCTCCTCAGTCGTCGTATCAAGATCAATAATGGCTGCCTAGGCATGCCGGATACCTTCAAGACGTGTTTTTCTTATTGTGAGGTTCAGAAGAGCCACCTCGTGGCATCCGCTGCCTAGCAATCAAGTTGGCTCCAGGGGCAAGAATGGCCTCGATAAGCCCCATTGAGTCTAACGGCCATTGAGACAGATCATACAGTAGAAGAAGACTTGTCACTTGACCTCGTCAGGGGATTGGCGATTCCCAGCGTTAGGACGCATTTCGTAGCGCACCCATGACAAGTTTCGCTAAAAAGAATATGCTGCAGGCTTAATAAACCGCATAGACCGTAACTTGTCTTATCATGAATTCTCCGATGGTGAATAGTCTAGGTGGTACTCATCGGTCGTCTCTCATGTACTGTGCCAGTCAACCAGACAACAGGTACATACAGTGCGATTACCTCATGAGCTGCCCATCAACATAAGCAAGCTTCCCAATCATTGTACATAACCATACTTCTACCATTTTGAAGAAGAAAGGCTTGCCAATGCTTAGTTACTCGCATCGCGGCTTCAGATCAAGTGGTATAGAGTTCCGGGGCATTCTATTTAGTACATAGACTTTGCATACACATGATATTCCAGGACTTAGCATATTCACTTGCATTGAAAGAGCCGGCTGGGGTTCCGAGACGCCTTTGCATAACAAACGACCAAACACTTACTTCGGCGACAGGACTGAAGCAGCCAAACGGTTCGATAGCAATCACTTGTACAGCCACTCATCTCAGGAAAGCACGCTTCGCAGCTGAATACTGCTGCGTGTCTCTAATCAGCCCTTTGTCACCCTCACTCAACACCTACATGACGTGAAGACACAGTCTGTTGCCAAACACAGCGATTTTCCATTGATTGGTATGTGGAGAGAAACATGACAACGCAGTCGTGTTCAGAATCCGATGGTGGCAACCTCAGTTCCAGGCTACATTGTGCATTCGGGCTTCTTCGAAAACGCTCGCCATGGCTTGAATTCACCCCTGTACAATTACACTCTAATACTTCATCTGACATATATTTTCTCAGTTCTGCATGTAGCACACCTTGCATTCTCGCAGCTTGGGCAAGATTGGATAGAAACTCGAATCCCCGGATGGCCACAACTGCACTGCACATTGAAGTTAGAATGATTTGTATGGACGAAGGACCCAACTTCAGGGACAGACGCAGGCATCTTACACAGAACCAGACCCAGACAGCCTTTCGCTTTGGACCACGAATATAGAAGCATCCATGTAGCCCGAGACAGCTGCTCACGATGACTTCTTCCCTGTAGGATCCGGTCTCGGCAGGGCGAGATAGAGGGCAACTTGTGGGAATATTGATATAGGGAGAGGACGCCATTCTAGGACAGCATGTATGACTCAACTGAGATGTCTGGCTCTGGGGTATGGACTAGAGTGAGTGACGTATCTTGGGTGTGAATAAATCGGTCTCCCCATTTTATTTATCCCTTCATCTTACACGTCGGCTCTCTCAGCCACGGACCCCTTGATTATCGTGGTAATATTCAAGTCATTGGGAAGATATGTTCAAAAATTGATTATCAATTAGATCTTAACACAGCAGTATCGAAAAGGGTACGTATTTGAATAGGAAGTCAACGGAAGGATCCTCGATATCCTGGTTCATAAGGCTTCCTGTCAGACGTCCAGACCACTTGAGCGAGAAAGAAAACTCTTGTCTATTCGTGTTCATGGAAATTAGGCCATCACGGACGTTGTTGTACAAGCCAAATTTTAACTTCTATCATGGTGTTTCAAATGATAGCATTAAGCTCAAAGCGGCACAATGTCCGGAGCATACATACAAAAATTAATTGGATCTTCAGGACTATTGAAAAGTAAGCAGATGCGGAATTTCTTCTTGCAAGCTCGCATTGCAAAACTTTTGGTAAAAACCTAAAAGCTACCAGGAGGTACCTAGTGAGTACTTCCCGGGATAGCACCAACTTCAAACTGTCATAAAGCCAGCCCAGGTCCAGCCGAGATACCATGGGACCGCTGTACAATCTAGATCGTGGAATGGTTCGTTGACGTATGCTGAGGTAACTGGATGTTCTGGCACTGATCAGCTCCTTCGCCGTCCTCGGGAGGCGAGAGAGAGAGAGAGAGAGGTCAGAGCTTTGGGTCTTGCTTGATCTACCGAGACTAGCGTAACTCACATTGTCATATGTCACATCATACGCAAACAAACGGGATAGAATGGACAGCGAGATCGCACAGGTGTGCATCACATGAGTTGGCCTGAGACCAATTGCTGGCAAGTCTTGACTGATCCCGTCTGCGAGGAGGCATTCCTGATTAGCCGAATCGAAGCTAAAGATGGGAACTTGCCCGTGAGCGTTGCGTTTGTGCCTTGCAGCTTTCTTTGTCAAAGACTGTGATAGTTTCATCGCCAGTCCTATTCACCGCCCGTTGCTCACCGCCGGGTACCAAAAGCCAACCCCCACCTCGGTCAAAAGTATTGAGACTTTGAAGCAGATATGTAATACCGAGACGTGAAACAGATTAATAGAGAAAGATCTACATGCAAGCGTACACATCACACTCGAGTATTGAATATCGTATCAGAATTGAAGTTTCTGGTACAGGACAGGGCTTGTCTGCAATGTTTTCTTTGAAGAAAGAAGGAGCCGCAGAACGGCACCCATTGGGAACGTCTCGGAAGTCTCTTGGCAGATTTCTGGACCCATGCAGAGATCCATGTCATTCATCTTTGAGTAAAACTGGTACTCCTGGGAGTAATTCAAGAGAAACTCCTGTGTTTGTCACTCGCAGTGTCACGCTTGAGGTCTCCGGTTTCTTATGAATAGCCCCTCCATCCCACATCTGCACTTTTCACCGCCAGCCAGGCTTTAATCAGTTACATACGGAACACGACTTTCCCCGTCTAAGATGGTATTGTTGCTGAATGAATGGACATTGAACATACCTGGCTTGCCACTGTCGGTCAGTGCCCTATAATCGATATGCACAATTCATTGTTACGCGGGGTTGACTTCGGTGACACAGCCACTCTACACGGGTCGCCCTCCCAGGGTAGAATCGGTGTCTTGGTTCCGTTGCCGAACGAATCAACAGCCTGCGAAGCCCTTAAGCTGACGAGGAGCCAGATGCGAGTGATACCAATTTAGAGACACCAGATGATTGGATCTTTTTGGCACCAACACTACATGGACCTAAACGCAGGGCTGTCTGGGTTTGGCACTGTGTATGGCTTCTAATCTTTCTTTCCGGCCCAGCTCAGCCTTACAATGCTAACAACTACTTCTTCCCAGTGCAATTGCGGCCACTCGGGCATCAAGATCTCAATTCAGTCGTGCCCAACGTGCGAGAGTCCACGATGTGCGACTTGCAGAACGGAGAAGATATTTGTCAGATGATCATTCGCAGATGGAGGCGGAGTAAGTTGAGTGAGAAGGCTCTGGAAACATTGACGATGGGCTCACTGTTTGGCCACGATATTAAGCAGCACTGGATCAGAGTAGCTTATGAGATACGGCGAGACAATTAACGAGCAAATAATATTACATTTCCCATATGAAGGGCAAGCCTTTGCGATCCACTTGCCTACCCGAACATCATAAATGTGCAGTTCCCGCACTTTCGATCCAAAGGCATGATCTCTATGCACACCCTGTGACTCCCGAACTTAATACTATCTCATTTTTGTCTGGAGGTTGGTGATTATTAGCAACAGCAAATTTATATACAGAAACGACTTGGAACTCATGTCTGGAACATACTGCATGTCATATTCACATCCCGCAGTGGTAGGCATCAGCCGGTATAGGTGTTGCCGCTCCTGGGCTAGATGACTTCACCAATGGCCGATATGGCTGTCACAGAGGCTGTCTGTTGTCAATATCGCCAGATCCCCTGTAGATGGTGTTCTAAATTTAGCACGCCTCCATCCTGCATCAGCACAGCTGAAAGGAAACCAGCGATTGATATTGCCGCAGAAGTTAACGCTACTGACGAGCCGATTCAGTTTTTCATGAGAGATAACGAAGAGTCCTGGAATTGTTCTTCTCGAGTGGTGTATGTACAGGAGTTCTGCGACGACGGGAGCTTGGATGCATTTGAAGAAACCTCTGAGCTGCCCCTTGTCGCCTTAGTGGAAGAAGTCATTCTAGAGAACAGAGCAACAAAACATCAGCCAGACCCAAGAGCTTTGAATGCAAGACAACTTCTAAGATATCTATCCGAAACAGAGGTACGGCCATCTCGTATTGTGTTTGGAAATACCGGCCCTGAAGGATTATAGTATCAGGAAAACAAGTCAGTGTTACGGAAAGAGGTTGACCCAAGAGTCAACTCAGAGCCCTCTGAGAATACAACTGCATATCGCCGTCGGATGTAAGTCATACCTATACGATTGTATATCCTTTAGTGACTGCTCTAGTTTTGTCGCAAATCTAGACTATTTAACTGTACTTACCTTCGTTCGCACCGCCTCGGAGTCCCAGGCGTGGGCGCTTCGTGACTCAATATATAACCACCTGGCACGGAA